CTATAGGATCAAGAGGTAATAAAGACCTGACAGGACAAAGCTTGTGTAGGTTACAAGAGAGTGTTGATAACATTGGATACATCATTATTGATGAATACTCCATGCTTGGCCAAGTTACTTTTGGTTGGATAGACAAGCATTGTAAACAAGCAACTGGTTCTAATGACAAAGTATTTGGAGGGAAATCGTTGATTTTAACTGGTGATCCAGGTCAATTGCCACCAGTAGCAGATAAACCTCTTTACCATGCTAGACCATCAAACGCTGTTGGTGAACAAGGTCATCAAGCATATCATATGTTTGACAAAGTTGTCAAACTCACTGTAAATCAACGTGTGCAAGGTATGACATCTGAGCAAGTACAGTTCAGAGATTTGTTATTGAGACTTCGCAAAGGTGACTCAACTGTTGATGACTGGAAATTACTTCTGACACGCCAACCATCAAATGTCACTAATTAATTTATGTGACTTTGAAGATTCTACTAGACTCTTTTATAGTAATGAACAAGTTGGTAATTACAACCATGAGCAGCTAACAAAACTTGAGCATCCAATTGCTCATATTAATGCTCGCCATTCATCAGCATTGGCCAAAAAGATATCCTCGGATGATATGTCTGGGTTAGAACATGTTGTGTTTCTCGCAAAAGATGCTAGAGTCATGTTAACCATGAATTTGTGGTCAAGTGTTGGCCTCTGCAATGGGGCTACTGGAACAGTTGTTGATATTATCTATCAGAACAACCATCAACCACCTGACTTACCTATTGCGGTAATAGTAGAATTTGAAAACTATAGAGGACCTGCTTTTAATGAAAGCCGACCATTGTGTATCCCAATATATCCAATCACTGTCACATCACAGACAGAAATAGGTTTCCATGAGAGGCAACAGTTACCTCTTAGGCTTGCTTGGGCTCTAACAATACACAAGAGCCAAGGACTTACACTTCCAAAAGCATGGATAGATATTGGCAAATCTGAAAGAACTGCTGGAGTTTCTTATATTGCTATTAGCAGAGTAAAATCACTTGCATCTTGTGTCATTGAACCAATGACGTATGAACGATTAACAAGCTTGAAATCATCCGCTAACTTACAATATAGGCTTGAAGAAGAAAACAGGCTAGATCAGTTAGCACAGGCTACTAGCAGTGCATTTAGAACGGCAAACTATTGAGTTTGAATAAGAGAGGGATTTCATATATGGATCCCAGTTATAGTTTGGTATGTACTTTGACTATATACCCTTTTAAATAATTTAATTTATTATATAATAACTAATTTACTCCTTGTTATCACTGATGTATGAAAATATTATGATTTGCAAGACAGAAGAAGGGTAAGTTTTTGTTTGTTTGTTTAACCCCTCCCCCTGCCCTACTTTTATTTTCACTCAGTTATGTGCCAGTATGTTTCCACATTAATATCTCATGCTACCAATTATTTTTTTCTATAGTTTTGCAAATCGGACGGATGTGAATGGTGCCATTTTAACTGCTGGATGAAACCAAATCGTTGTTACAGCCAAAATATAATATGGATATATTACTGTTCATCTCATGAAAATGGAAATACACTGAAAATACATTTCTGTTAAAACAAGAATGCTGATTTGCAAGATTGGATATATTACAATGCATCTAATGCAATGGAATATGGAATCTGCCATGTATTATTAAATAACTGTACTTGTTTCCAATCTACCATATGGATGTCAGGAACATTGTATCTCTACTGTGTCAATATATTATACATACCTTTATATGTATAGTAACCTAACAAGTTATTGGACAATATCATGGCCAACAATGGACACTACCTGTACGTGCTAAATAAATACGAAACATCTGCATATTGGACAAAAAAACAATTAATGGGACTGTCTTGTTTACCAATTGGAAAATACAGTAGACTATTATTACTTGGAAAGAATGTGAAAACTTGCAACAAACTAATCATATCACGTTAAAAGACAGTATGTTTGTTCTTTCCAATTGTGTTCTTCTAGACGTTTTGACAAGTGAAGACGGTTGAAAACATTGGTACCAACAATCACATGTGTAAATAAGAAAATCCGAAGTACAGTTTACAGTATATAATAATTATTGCATTATCAAACAAAATAAATTCATACATACAGTGTATTTATAGTATAAGGCAATTTAAATAAATAAAGTTTTTTGGTATAATCAATCCCCAAGACTTTGGGTCGTAAGGCAGCACTTCCCTTGCGATAGTAACTCCTAGTTTAATATATAATTGTCATGCATGGGTGACTCCCTACTTGCGACTTGACTTACGTCTGTGTTCTAAAAGCTCACTCACTCTCGCCCTTAAGTAACATTCAAGGGAGGAACATAGATAGATAGATAGATAGATAGATAGATAGATAGATAGATAGATAGATAGATAGATAGATAGATAGATAGATAGATAGATAGATAGATAGATAGATAGATAGATAGATAGATAGATAGATAGATAGTTTAATTAGTCACTTTTTACATACCCTTTTACCGCATCCCCTCCCCACCCTAACCCCCTCCCAAGATGTCTCGTGCCTTTGGCACTCGATACTTGTGTCTTTGTATTACCATGGATAATAAAATAAATGGATAGGAAACTAGCTGACGTGACCTAATGTTTTCAATGGGCTGATGGCGTGATTGGATGTTGAAACCTAGTTGCAAACGAAATTCTCAAAAACGGCATGTTTTATAGCATTAGCTGTTATACAGCTAAACATTTTAGTCAAAGAGCAAATTAATATAACTACGCCGTTCTCCGATGAAATATTTAGTATTCCCATGCAGTCAACTTTAGCAAATATTTCAAGCACTAAACAGTGAAAAAGGCATCCCAAATTTCGTTAAAATTGGGGACGCCAATTTCGTAGCTACAAATGTAAAACAATACAAAACAAAGACGAAAAACATTTACCTTGAGTACTTTGTCGTGGCTTAGGCAGTTTTTAAAACAATTAGACCAGTATATGCTTCAATAGTTCAATATTACTCTTTTAAAGCGGAAAGTATAGCGAAACAACAAAAATGCCGAGAACTTTGCAATACGCGTGACGTCACAGATTGCAACTAGGTTGTTTTTGCTTACGTCAGCTAGAGTCCTATCCATTTATTTTATTATCCATGGTATTACTTCTGGGGATCCACATCAACTTTCTTTCGTTAGGCAAAACGAACCTACACCGCCCTAATGTTTAGACCTAACTTAGCCCCTGTATAGATTAATTATACATTAACCACTTCAAAATAACCACTTTGGTGTATTCCACTTCGTTAGGGAAAAGGACTAAGATGCCATAGTTATCAGATCGGCTACTTTTTGTGGGGTAAGTATTTCTTGTTCCTGCAGGGATGTGCATATAGCGGTATGTATTCGGTAAAAATTTATTATAGAATAGTATTGGAACTTTTATTAGAACCACAAACTGAAAATATTTTCACTTGTTTTTTTGCATTAGGATCTGAGAAATTGTTTGAAACGATATTTAGAGAAAATGTTTTCCAGGACTGTAAATTGTTCTCTGTTGCATATAATATTGCATGTGTGGCGACCGCTGTTCCGTAGAAATGTGAAAAATGCAACTATAGGTCGTCTGGTATAGGAATCGAACCTGCTGCCGTGCGACTTTGGTTCAGCGCTCTAATCAACTGAGTCCAGTTGACAAGCATTAACCACCGTTCTTATATATGTATATATAATGGGTGATGCCAGTTTAAGGTATGGGTAACTATTGAAGATTTGGGTATCTTTCTCGATAGAACTAACAGTTGAAGGGTTTTGGAGATGGAAATTTCAAACGGAAATTCTATCGAGCGTGATGCCTGAAGTCTTCATATTTGCCCAGATTATACGGCAAATCCCTATCTTGAGTGAAATATATAGAGGATATTACACGGCGGCGCGAAGATATGATTTTTATCTTCGAGTGGTGAAAACAATATTTTGCGACCGAGCGCAGCGAGTGAGTAAAATATTGTTTTTGACACGAGAAGATAAAATTCATATCTTCAAGCCACCGTGTAATGTTCTGTTTATTATATAGTCCCAAGCAAAAAATTGTATAAATACTAAAAGTCACGTGATCGATATCGTCGCTAGTGAAGACATGGAAAATATGTCACTGTGTATTTCTCAGTATCTCACTCTACTATATAATAAATGGTCACCTTGAAGTTGACAACCCTCCCCTTCTTACCCCATTTTTAAAGTTTAGCAAGTTTCTTCCGCATTTTTTGTCCTAGGCTACATATTGCTGTTGTCGCTGTTATCTGTTACCTTTTTTGTTCTTTACTTATTGACACTTGATCCCGTTCAAAATTTGGTTATGAACTACGTGAAAAGAGGAGGGTAAGTGATACTCTGTATTATGTACGTAACAGTGGCGTGCTGGGTACTATTTTTCTGGGGGGGCCAGTCGGCTGGCAACTAATATGCGCCCCTATAATATTACCCTTGATAAACGAGGGCCGAAGACACGAGCCGAGCGCCGCAGGTGCGAGGTTTGTCAAGGGGGGTCCGGGGGCATGCCCCCCAGGAAAATTTTTGAATTTAGAGTCTCTGAAATGCCATTTCCTGGAATTTGGGGGAAGATTTGACAGAAATCTGATGGTCAGGAAACGGCATTACAACGTGTCGAAATTTGAAAATTGGTTAGAATTTAGTAGTAGCACTTAAATTGGGCAATGCTAATCCCAATTCTATTCTCTACTGATCTGAATACATTTACAACTTACAGCTCTTTTATACAATAACACACGTACCCCACGCATATGCATTTTAAGGTTTCCTTGCCTGGCTGCCAAAAGGGCGTGTTTCATCATTATCTCATTACTTACATTACTCATAAGGTCTCTTGCGCAAACAATTAAATTGCGTACACAACTTTACATTATCATACTTCAACTATCTAATTTGCGCCGCTCTCGTGATTCGTGAAGCATAATAAAGGGCATAATATAAGGGTATAATACCAGCAAAAAAGGGCATAATTCCCGTGATCGCTTCGAAGCCTGATCAATATTCCGGTAATGAGACATTGCGTGTGATCACTGATCATGTTTCTATATGAACGAGTGATTTCGTGGCGTGGCCCCCCGCCCCCTGCCAGCACGCCACTGGTACGTAAGGTAAGTGATACGTTGATATGTACGATGAGCTTTTTTCTGTAATTTTTTGTTCAAATCGCAACGAAGAGCTGTTAAAGTACACCTCCTTCCAATTTTTAAAAATTGGATCTGGTTACTAATGTGTGACGGAAAATCCAGACAACAACAAGGAGCGAGACGGTGTTATACAGTTGATTTCATGTAACTTTTCCGTGAATGTTGCGAACTTCGTTCCGAACTTCGTTGTGAAGTTCAAAAGTTCATACTGAAATTCACAAGCCCGTATGTAAACAAAGCCTCTGATTGGTCCCTTAACAAAAATAAGCCAATTAGAGGCTTTGTTTACATACGGGCTTGTGAATTTCATTATGAACTTTTGAACTTCACAACGAAGTTCGGAACGAAGTTCGCAACATTCACGGAAAAGTTATGAAATCAACTGTAATACGGAGCTTTAGATTTGACTACGAGTACGAGATTTGATCCAGTGGCGTAACTACTACGGGCTCAGACCGGGTGAACCCGGGGGCCCCAACCCAAATGGGGGCCCCCAGGCTTAGCCGATAGGGCTAAAACATTGGCCAGGGCATCTGATATGTTACAATGTCGTTTTATGACCATCAGAATTCTGTAAAATCTCTCCCCAAAGTCCAGGAAATGGCATTTCAGAGAGTCTAGATTCAAAAATTTTCCGGATGACCATGCCCTGGACCCCCTAGAAAACTCGTGCATATACGGCGCTCGACTCGTGCCTTTGGCACCTCTACCAGGGGGGCCTTCGGAAATTTTGAACCGGGAGCCCCCTGATATAACGTTACGCCACTGATTTGATCGCGTGCGAGGAAATTACCGTAGTCGTTTTCGTTTCCATTCAAATGTTGCTTTTATAGCAGTAAACCAACAACGAGAGAAAAAGTTTCATAAACTAAATCTCCTGCAGACTAAACTCCTCTACAAACCGTGTAAATAAGTCATAACATTAAAAACAGGCCAGATATTTAGTACTAATATATTATTTGCGCCGGATAAACGCTATATAAATGCTGCAAATTATTTTCGGAAAACAAAAAAAGCCAACTTTCTTTGTTTTTTTTTTGAAAAGTCGTCGTGAGGACTACGAGATTTCTCCACAATTTCGTACTCTGATTGGCGACGGCTACGACTTTTTCGCGTCAGTACGGGATGGCGTAAGCATACAGCATGCAGTTTCGCTTGACGAATCTCGTAGTCAAATGTAAACCTCCCTAATATTAATATAAGGTGCGACTGTATAAGGTGCTACAGTACACCACTGAATAGATGGCTATACTCAGACTACAGAGTATACAAAAGCCTGTAATACTATGTGCTGAATTGAAACCTGATACAGCACGTGCGTGGTTCGCCTAAGTATAGAAATGATTATAGGGTTCAGAGGACATGGTGGAAAAGACGGAGTATGGAGTGCGGAATACGGAGTCTTTCAAAACAGTTTATTTTTCCTAGATTTTTTTAATGAGACTCCGCGTTTTCCACTTTCTGCCCCCATACACTTGCATTGTCTTTCTCAATTCGAAACTTTGCACTATCCTTGCATCCCTAGGCCAAATAAAAATAATAGTTGGTTTCAGGTTTCCGACCGACCTGTCAATAATATGACCGACCAAAAACATTTTATTGACATTTAAACGTTTAGACTGAAGTACTGAACATTGTTGATATTAAATATTTAGTTGTTGCTCGTTTCCTTGCATGTCAAGTTTTATATGTATGCAGGTGAAAACTTGATGTAAAAACAATAAAAACTAAGAGCTGGAGTTTATAATGAGTTTTAACTTATATTTATCGCATATTTGAGATAAAATACTTTTTTAAAATAAAATGTTTTTCCGACCTACCTACCCACATAAAACATGGCTGTGAAACCTGAAACCAACTATTATTTTTATTTGGCCCTATATATTCATTCTCGTTTTTCTTCTCGATTTTCGTTTGTTGGTACAGTATATTTTCAGTCCAGCTATGTTAGGAAGTCATTTTCTTCCTGAAATGGCGGCTCCCATCGCTAATAATTCTGTTCAATATTTTAGTGTTTACTTGATTGTGGCTATTTTTTCTTGGTTGTCCTTGCGCATAATTACGCTGATATTCCGAGATAACAGTTACTCTAAAGACGTTATATCTATAAATAACAGGTGTGTCTAATTTCATTAAATAAAAATGGGTAGATATTTCAAATATTTAATACTGTATGTTTGGTTTGTGTACGTACACATGATTCGCTTTTAAACGATGTGTTGTAATGTGAATTTGAAACAATTATCAGTTCTCTCTAGAGTATCACACTAAATTGAATTGAATAGACCTTTCCCCTTATAATAAAAATTTTGATCTAGGCAAGTCTAGAGAAATGTTTCATCACAGCTTGAAAGAGCATCACAAAATTAGTAATATTCCAAAGTTTCGTTGCGAAATGTTGTAAAATGAGGAAAATAGAGCCTTGCAAACTTTGCAATTTTCAGTCATTTTGCATTACAAACGGGAAATTGCAGCCCCAACACCCGAATCGGATGTCAATTTCCCGTTTGTAATACAAAATGACTGAAAAACGGCAAACTTCGCAAGGCTATATTATGGAATATTACTAATTTTGTGATGCTCTTTCAAGCTGTGATGAAATTTTTGTCTACATCGAAATTTTAGTTATAAGGGGAAAGATCCATTGAATTGAATTGAATGTTACTTCAGGTGGAATTCTAAAGTAACTTTATAGTTAACCTAAGAGTCAAAACTCTTTCCCTTAGAGGTCCAGTAAGGATCATATATACCATATTGGTCCTGTGCCACTGTCAGTTTCGGAGTGATGCTAAGCTAAACGTTGTATTGGATGGCTTTATCACTTGAACACTTCTGATCTGTTTTCCCTAACGATCATGCCAAACTGGTTGAGTGCTACTTCAGAAAGATCCAAAACTTTTATATTTGATAGTTGTATCAGTTTATTAAACTGTTCTCCCTAGAGGTCCAGCAAAGTCATACTGGTCTGGTTCTAAACTAACGTTATACTGTTGGTTGGAACTATTGGTTCATTGTTGTTACCGGAGGAAACTTAAACTAAACTATCTTATACCTAATAACTTCACCAGTTCTAAACTGTTTTTCCTAGACGTCCAGTAAGGACCATCCTACATTGATCCTGTGTTATTACAGGAGGAAACTGATGTATAATCAGCATATTGTAGAAATCGAATCTCACTTGCAAAAAGTGAAACGCTACGAACAATCTCTTAGGGCCTGTTTATATGATCCCGGCCAGGCGGGACGGGATGCTTACCGAGATCCCGCTCGTAATACAAATTCTAAAGAGTATTTATATGATCCCGTCACTTATCCCGCCTAGACGGGATCTCGGCAACAGATGCCGGGATCTCGCCTAAGCGAGATGAAAAATTCCCATATAAACGCTTCATCGCCTAGCCGAGACGAGAAATTTCCATGTAAACACTTCATCCCGGCTAGGCGGGATGAACTTTTCCCTTTTGAGCATGCGTAAAAGCCTTTATTGCAACAAAAATATGACGTCAAGCACTTAAATGGCTTCATCCCGGTAATGTATTTTGTAATGTATTTTGTCCATATAAACACTAGGCGAGTTTCCCGTCTGGGCGAATTTAGGCGGGATGAAAACGTCCTGTCCCGTCTAGGCGGGATCATATAAACAGGCCCTTAGTAAAGTTTGATTTGTTCCTCCAGAAATGTATACATGGTGTTCTCGTATTTTTGGTTTTTCATTGGACTTCCCATGGGTTTCTTCTCCGCCATATTACGGATTCTGAAGGCAATGGCCGTTGGCGCTCTGATGTTGCCAAGAGTTGATCATAGTGTCATGCCTGATGGTTTTCAACGGCTTGATCGAGGTACTCAACTTTAATTAATATAGTTGTGACGAATTTTCTAAATCCAATTGACTGAAATATCGGTAAATGAATAAATATGTAAATATAAATTATATTATAAATTAAAGTAAATATAAATTAAATATAAATTAATAAATATGTAAAGATAATAGTATACAATTTAATTTTTTACCTTTATATAGACATTTTCATTAAGCTATTTTATCGTAACCTAAATTGATGTACTTTATTACCCTGTTATTCAATTATTTGCCAGAGGGTTTTGATGATAGTAATAATAATAATAAAATAAATTTCCATATCCGTGTATAACTATAGTTTTGAAAATCCAAATGTTCTCCATGCCAAAATAATAATAATAAAATAAATTTCCATATCGGTGTATAACTATAGTTTTGAAAATCCAAATGTTCTCCATGCCATCCAATCAATCATTGTTTTGACCTACAATAGTTTATACCATTTTTGCCAAGGACCTATTGGGTTGTGGCGTCATCCGTCATGCATTAATACTTACCATATACATTGATAACATCTTTGAATATGACTTTATGTTGAATTTATATCGATACATTCTGGTCACATAGTTGTGTTACAATAAATTGAAATCCAAAATATTTTTAAATTTAAAATATATTTTATAAAGTTATAATACAAATACCAATAATATTGGCAACAAAAATACCGATATTTTGAATTCATGACCGATATGGATAATTCAAAACAATGAAAAGACAATGGCACAGAAAAGATACTAGACTAGAAGTGTGACCACTGGAGCGCTAACTGCATGCAGGTAAACATGCCCATACTTGCCCGAAGCCAAGATGGCGCCTCTCGCAAGCTCGGCGAGCAATAAATTAACTTTCAAAAGGACTGGGGAGAGTTTCTAGGAGCGGGAAATTCAGTCAAAAGTTTGTTTTTGAGCGAAAATCAGCAAGAAAAAGCATTTTTTTATCGAAAGTCTTCAACTTTAAAGATTCAAACCTGGTTTGCTGGATAGTTCTAAGTATTTTACATCCACTAACAGCAAAAACGTCCTGGGTAACAGCTTGATATTCAAAATATTACACAAGTGAGTGTGACTCAGACGATATTTCGTGCGAAATTTTACGTGCTGACGTGCCAAATACGCCATCATATGACGCCATCCTGGAGTGCACACGGAAGTTTTTCATGGGTACAAACATAGGTACAAAGTGCCGTGTGCATTCCCGGATGGCGTCATAGCACGTAAAAATTTCAGACGTTTTTCCCAAGCCAAAACACATAGGAGTGACACTTCTGGTCTAGCATCTATTCTGTGACAATGGAACAATCCGATCACTGATTCATTGGATAGCAGTGTTATTATACTTAGCTTCTGTTTATGTGCCAGAGTCGAGACCATGTCAAAGAGATATGTGTAACACATGCAGTTTCGATATACAGCTAAATTCAGTTAAGTTTTTTTTTCAAACTTAAAACTGCAAAACCTGGACTTCTAAGCATATAAGCATCGCCATTGAATTTTTCGCGCGTAGAGTTGTGATGTTAACGTTAAGTTGAGACTGATTTAAGGATCCTGAAGGGGTAAAAGGAAACTGGGATTTGCGTAGTTTTGGATTGGGAAAATGAGATTTGGGTTGCTGGGAATGAAAGACACAAAAATGGGAAAACCCAAATACCATTATAAAGACAGTCGTATATAGTTTGACATTTCAGAGTGAAATAACTTTACGAACAGCTACAGAGCAATTTTTGTAGAGAGTTTGTCTAAAAAAAGTCCAGGAAAACTGAATTTAATCGACTTATGGCTCAATGCATGAGGTCATTTTTCTGCTATTGAAGTCATTCAGTCACATACTTTTTTTCTCGGCAAAACTAGTTCTAAAGAGTAAAGTGAGTAAAGAGGGCAATTGAACGCAGAATTGTGTTTAAAAGTCGTTGCATAGATGAGCCGCCTGCTCTGAGTTTTCTTTCAATTTCACAGTGGGAGTGGGATTTTATCTGAAAAAGAGCTGGGAATGGACCATTTGCATTATTATAGACTAAATTTTGATCTAGACAAAAATTTCATCACAGCTTGAAAGAGCATCACAAAATTAGTAATATTCCAAAGTTTCGTTGCGAAATGTTGTAAAATGCGGATGATATAGCTTTGCGAAATTTGCAATTTTCAGTCATTTTGTATTACAAACGGGAAATTGATGCCCCAACACCCGATTGGGCTGTCAATTTCCCGTGCGTAATAGAAAAAGACTGAAAAACGGCAAACTTCGCATGACTATAATATCCGCATTTTACAACATTTCGCAACGAAACTTTGGAATATTACTGATTTTGTGATGCCCTGTCAAGCTGTGATGAAATTTTTGTCTAGATCAAAATTTAGTCTATAATGCAAATGGTCCATTGGGATTTAGAGAAAATTTGGGCTGGGAAAATGGAATCTAGACCACCCACCCCCTTCAGGACCCTCTGGTTTTCTGATAGCACCAAAACTACAAGGCAGATCCAGAATATTTTACATCTAACTGCTCCTTCCCCCGGAAAGCATCAGCCCCCGTATGCGTATACTAACACACCAATTATGAGAGCATATACATGGTTTGTACTGTATCTATATAAGTAACTTTTTTTAAAGGTTTCAATGCGTACATCTGTTATCTTCACGTGGAAACAGCTTATAGAAACCCAGTCCTTCGAGTTTTCTGTCAAATGCTGGTCGATGAAACACGTAAGTGTTGATTCATTGAGAGTACGGATTTTTAAATTGCAGAATTTTATAAATTTATTGCAAAAACCGCAGATGCTTCTTCTCGCCCCCCCCCCCCCTTCCCCCAAAAAGTGTCTTGTTTCCGTGTCAAAACAATCATAAATGTGACTACATTCCTGCACCTATTACTGCTAAAATCAACCTATTATTAGTTAGTCTCAGAATTTTTTGGCAATCTATAAAAAGCTGACAATACAAGACGGCACTGTTTGTAACTGTTTTTTTTTTTTGTTTTTTTTGCACATGTTTCGATTCACATTAATAGACAGCACTTCCCAATATTACCCAATGTATGGCATGCACTTGCTATGGTAACCCTCCTATCAGTCAGCCTAAAATCGTGACGTGCATGATCATTGATACAAAAAATGAAGCCAATGGTGAATCGTAATGTGTGCGTCTCAGCAAATCGTCAAATAAGCCCTCCCCAAACAAGCTCCCCTGTCCAATTATTATAAGAATAAATGATAGAAATCATCTTTTTAAAGTGCAATGGACCTTTCACCTTTTGACTAAAATTTTGATCTCAAATTTTGATCGTTGCGAAATGTTGTAAAATGCGGATAATATAGCCTTGCGAAGTTTGCAATTTTCAGTCATATTGTGTTACGCGCATACCCTTTTCCGAAGGAGGTATATGTATTTCCCGCTATAATACAATATGACTGAAAATTGCAAACTTCGCAAGCCTTAGGCTATATTATCCGCATTTTACGACATTTCGCAACGAAACTTTGGAATATTACTAATTTTGTGATGCTCTTTCAAGTTGTGATGAAATTTTTGTCTAGACTTGTTGAGATCTAAATTTTAGTCAAAAGGTGAAAGGTCCATTCGTTGACTGTGATCACTTTTGTTACAGAAAACAATCCACGAAACGTGCAAACATTAGGTACGTATTTACCTTCAATGTTTTTTTATTAAAGCGAAAAATATACCAAGCCTCCCCCCCCCCCTTTCTGTTAAAATTGCCTTCCCTCCTTCATAGAATATTTGGTTATTACATCATAGGAATCAACAGGGTACGAAAATGGACATTTTCAGCTCAGGCCCGGGCCAGGTGGTTTCTCGCCCTTACCTTGGCCCGCAACCCACAACTCGCATCAGATCGTAAACCTGATGTTCAGGCACCTCAACCTGCTCAGGCTGCCAGATATGGCGATGTCATGATTGAAATTGATCAATTTTGCGCTGATAATACTGCATTAATACAAGATAAGTGAACTATATATAGTTAGTTTCCAAAGTTAAAGAGGAGACTGGGATATAGTCGCTAAATACCTATACCTAATATAAACACTGTAGCAATTAATACACCAGGCGGAAATCTTAGTTTAAAGATAAAGAGCAGAGCCCAGCAAATAACTTTAAATCCAATCATAATAAAAGTAAAAAAAAATATTAGTTAACGTTTCGTTGTTTACAATACAACATCTTCAGAGCAATCTCGAATTTACAGGGTATGGTATATATATTTACAAAAGAATGGTTTAACATTACAAAACGGTTACAAAGTTTGAAAGAACAAATGAATAGAAAGAAAGGAAACAACTTATCAGTGACTAGTTAATAAGTAAAGATTAATGTTAAGTGCATGGTTAGTATATATAGTTAAGGTTAATATTACATAACTAAAATAACTCGGAAAGAAAGAAAGAAAGATTTATTATGCACATGATATTAGTATTTACAAATTATCTGTTGAGATTATAGAACTTAAGAATTATTACATAATGATGTTATTATAAATTTAGATTGGATGTGCGCAGTAGGCTAGATCTAATATTAGCATTAAGGACAGGGTTAAATTGAGAAATTAACGATGGATGTGCGCAGGGCTAGGTCTAATATTAGCATTAAGGACAGGGTTATAAGTTGAGAAATTAATAGGCTTTCACGGATATAAGAAGATCCCATGTTATTATGTTTGGCTTTAAAGTTATTTGCTGGGCTCTGCTCTTTATCTTTAAACTAATATGAACACGTTTTGTAATTGGCTTTCTGTCACAAAAGTGACCAGTGTTTATGATTCGTTCTTTAGAAATATAATTTCTATAGTTCTCGTAATCAACCGATCACAAAGCCAGTTCATATATAGGTAGGTAGGGACCAACGATGTTACTGTAATATATCTTTAATAATTGGTTGATTTTACTAATGATGATTTGATGTTAAAGCTGTTGATCTGTATTAAATCTTGACATTTATTTTAGGCTGCTTGTTTAAACTTTTCAAAATGATTTTTTCGCCAATGATTAAAAAATGCTTGTCATGATCACATTCGTAATAATATCGATGAAGTAAATATCAATTCTATGAATAGCACTTTTTTGAACGTAGAGCTTTACATTTACATTTACATACTTTATTGTGTTCCCTAAATAGGGATTTTCAACACTGATTTACAAAAAATAAATGTTGTTCTATTTACAAGTTTTAGAATCTAGAATTTAAATTAAGGTAAAAAGATAAGACATTTGTATAAAGTTTAACAAGGTAAAATTATCTACTTATATATTTGTTCTAGCATGCTTCGCTTCAGTTCGTTTTTGAAAGTTTTTAGGGAGTCTAACTTTTTGTACTTAATGTCCAAATCATTCCAGAGTGTAACGCCTCTATAATGAAAGGACCTTTGACCTGCAGAAGTTTTGTACAATGGTATTTGCAGTGAGTCATGGCTACGTGTATCTCGTTGATGAATGTCAGAACGTTTTGTGAATAAATCACTCAAATAATGTGGAGCAAGTTCATTGACACATTTGTACATCATAATAGCCTCTCTTAGTAGTAATTGTTCCTTTACTGGGAGCCAGTTGAGTTCGCGTAAGCCCGGCGAAATATGGTCGAACTTTCCAATATTTGTTATTATCCTGCATGCAAAATTTTGTACCAACTGTAGTTTCTTAATGTTGGTAGACGAAGTGTTTGACCAAACCGTTGAACAATAGAACATTTTGTTCATTACAAGTGCCGAGACGATGAGAGTTAAAGCTTCTTTATCGAAACATTTTTTGACTCGGTTTATTTGGCACAGGGAATTCATACATGAGGAAACCAGGTTGGTGATGTGCTGGTCATATGTCAAATAAGAGTCGATTGTCATTCCTAGATCTTTGGCAAAGGAGACGGGGGTAATAGTCTCGTTGAGGAAGTTTATGGTCATATCTTCGGGAAGTTGTTGTAGGTTTTGCCGTGTGCCAATCAGCATGTATTTGGTCTTTCCCGGGTTAATAAGCAATTCATTTTCGGAACAACTGTTTGCAATCAAATACAAGTCTTCCTCTAGTTGTTGCTTTAAACAGTCCACGTTAGCCACAGTGAAAGATAGTAATATCTTGGAGTCGTCCACGTACGATTCAAGTTTACTATGGTGGACTGATGAGGGCAAATCGTTAGTATAAATACTAAAAAGTAAAGGTGATAAAATTGCACCCTGTGGTACACCATAAGAAACAGGGAGAGGAGTAGACACAGTTGATCCAATTCTGACTGATTGAGTTCTTCCGGTCAAGTAACTCTCAAACCATTTTACAACGCTTGGAGCGGATGTCTTTACAAGGCGGTACCTAGCACCTCCCTAGATACATTTTCTGCTTTTCGAATAGCGATTAGGGGAACTCCTATACTCGTAACATGTTAGCGCGTGTCGTTTCTTGAAACGATGTAATTCATTTGTGAGCTCACGACAAAATAATGAGAATGATTTAGTTAAATATCATGGTTAAATACGTAAACATGTCGAGGTTGTTATAGAGCCATGTTTTCGTATATACTGTACTTTAACATTAAACAAGCAAATTTACTGTAGTGTGCTACAGTAACTGTCTAGTTCGCATACGTGCAGATAAAAAGCCAATATCAACTTTATAGACAAAAGATATTATAATATAGCATCTGTAAGTTCTGAACGCTGATTGGCTAACAGCCGTGTTGGCATAACTCAATGTCAACACGGAAAATTTCTTTCTTTATGTTTCTTTGTGCTATATTATTAAAAAAATATATAAAAAGTTTTTCCATATTGATATCCAGTCATTTTTCCGTATTGATATCCGCCCTCCCGGCGTCGTGTTTCCACGCAATTGCCAAGCAGGAAATTCGGAAATTGTATATGTAAAATAGCGCACGAGCGTCGCTCGCAGGCACCTTTCGAATTTGCGCAGGTATGTACATTTTAAAATATTTAACTCCCAACATATTCTACAAAATTTAGCTCCCGAAACCTTAAAAATGATTCATTTTTGCAGGCACATTTTGAAGCTATGCATTTTGCTTGCAGACACTAAAAATATAAATTGACCTTGACCGATATATTTCTTGTGTTCCCTTCTTGCCGTCAAGTTAAATTATCAGATTACAGTATTGAGTCAATTACATTGTACAATTACATTGTGCAAATGATAATAAAATACAATGATTTAGGCAATACTTACCAAATAGAGAGCTACACAAAATGAAAAACTACTAAACATTACATGTTATAATAAATTATTCTAAAAAACAATATACCTAGCTGTTGTAGTCTATATATACGACTTGCAGCAAAAAAGTTTGTAATATTTGTACGCAATTGATGTTGGACAAATAAACTGAACTATCTTAGGGTGATACGTTTAATTAAATTTGTATCAAGCCTCCTTAATCCGTCAACTAAATAAATCTCACCCCCCTTTTCAGAAGAGGAAATCTAAACTGTCCTTTTTAGTTCCGGCCACATTTTGCCCACTGTGTAAAGCAGAATAAAGAAAGTATTAATATCAGTTTCTAAAATCTTTGCGAGTCAATCACGCAGAAGCTTAATTGTTCTTTGTGTAATGATTGAACGTTCATTTGAATACTTTCATATGCACATGCGCAGTCAAAACTCCGACAATGAAACAGCTTGTTGCAACCTCGTTCCCAGGGCTTCAGTGTGAGGACGAGGCGGCGAGACACGAGGAAGCCCCACTGATCTGAAATAAGACTGGATAACGCATCTATAGTAAACAAAAGTGAAGCCGGAAGTCACCGGCCGCCACCCGATTCTGGGGCCCCACTTTTGTATAGATTTGTATTACAGACGGTAGTTTTTCGCGTTTTTTGCCTTGGCTACGTTTCCGATCGGGCCAATTTTACAATCACAACGATAGAAGCATACAAGAAGAATTTTGAGCAAAAAATTTGGAGTATTATGGCTTTTTAACGCCGCGAAACGGGATTTACAACTCTGAAGGAGTGGAGAGCCTCGGACTTTGTTTATCAACACGAGCTCGTTTTGCTACTTTCATACAAAATAAACTCAAAATATACAAGAATTATTGTTGCTGGACGAATATTTATGGAAGTAGCCTCAAGGTATTTTAAAACTAACCTCTGTACGCTTTCGTTCACAATGTAGCTGCTTCATTTCTTCAAATTTCGTGAGAATATTCGTCCAGTAACAATAATTCTTGTATATTTTGAGTTGATTTTGTATGAAAGTAGCAAAACGAGCTCGTGTTGATAAACAAAGTCTGAGGCTCTCCACTCCTTCAGAGTTGTAAATCCCGTTTCGCGGCGTTATAAAGCCATAAAACTCCAAATTTTTTGCTCAAAATTCTTCTTGTATGCTTCTATCGTTGTGATTGTAAAATTGGCCCGATCGGAATCGTAGCCAAGGCAAAAAACGCGAAAAACTACCGCCTGTAATACAAATCTATACAAAAGTGGGGCCCCAGTATCGGGTGGCGGCCGGTGACTTCCGGCTTCACTTTTGTATACTATAGTGCGTTATCCAGTCTTATTTCAGATCAGTATCAGTGGGTCCAACATTGTCAAAAGGAACGCAGGCTCGCTAATTGATGACGTAAGGCGTGATATCGCGATTAATTTCATGCTCACGTGGCACAAACTAAGCTTCCTGATTGGACAATTTGAATTTGAGGTATAATATTACGTTTTATTCCATTGCACTCTTTGTGTTTTCGATAAATGGCATGCGTCAAAATTCTTCTCGTACGGTGATCGCTGCAGTTTATTTCAACCCGATATTCGAAACTCAGTAAATGGGATTTAATGCAAATACGACTCGTCAAAATGGCGGGAGCTTACAGTAAACTTTTAATATTAGTCTATTTTGGTATTATATAAAACAAATAATGAATATTTTTATTCGTGCAATGGTAAGAATATTTTCATTCTGTGAAAGATGGAATGTTCCATTCCACTCGGCTGTCGTCTCGTTGAATCATCACCTCATGAAAATATTCTTACCATTGCACGAATAAAAACATTCATTATGTAAATGTCATACAGTAATCAGTGGAACAAGTTGTTTGAAAAATGTATCACACGAAAAGTTTCACGCGAAAGACGGCCAATAGCCTCCTATCATACATACGTATTGAATATTGATTAAAAAATTCCATTGCTAAAAATTCGAACGGGTGAAAACATATTCATTTCAGAGATCTAAGGCTGGTATACTTTAATTTAGGGTTTTATAATTAGTTGTGGTAGTAATCGTGTGTTTAGAAAATGCTCCGCCGTCCGCCTTTTATCCGTCCGCTTTTTATCTACACCCATCGTTCAAAGCAATGTTTGAAGCTATTCACTGCAAATGCAAGCTCTTATGATTTATACAAGTAAGTGCAATAATTTAAATATATTACGTTAGGATGTTTTATTCATATTACGTTTAATTAATATGATGTTTATTCATATTGTAACACAGCTCTTGTGGTTGGACCCCCTGTGGATTCGCGTGTGGTCACTATAACCATAGATATAGGAGATCTAGATTGCTAACGCATACCCAGCGCAGGCGGGGCCTACATGATAAATCCAAGATGTCGGTACAAGAGGGCAAAAAGACTGTAGATTCTATTACGAAAATCAAAATTTTTGCATTTTTTGCCGTCGCATTGTTTTGAAACTTATTCGGTCAAATTTTATGGTAAAGAGAAACTTACCGCGAAGATTTTGAGCATATATATGATTGAATTGGATGAAAACTCGCAAAATTATCCAGCGATAAAAGTTCGTGTGAAATGGTCAGTTCGTCAGTTGGAGCGTTTTATTGCCAGAAATACTGTGCTATGTTAACATCTAGTCTTGTGAATGGTGTTTTATACTTGAATCTTTCATCATCATCGGCTCTGTCCTCATAATTATGAAAAATGAACTGTTATGTACCCCCCCCCCCTCCTTGCTTGTTAGTAAACTGATGAGAGCACTGGATAAGGGTTTATCATCTATGGTCTGTTATAATTTGCTTTCTATGCAAATAGTGAGCAATAATTAAAGCAAAACTGTACAAGTTACATATATAGTATAGTTATCGTTGGATAATTTTGCGAGTTTTCATCCAATTCAATCATATATATGCTCAAAATCTTCGCGGTACGTTTCTCTTTACCATAAAATTTGACCGAATAAGTTTCAAAACAATGCGACTGCAAAAAATGCAAAAATCCTGATTTTCGTAATAGAATTTATAGTCTTTTTGCCCTGTTGTACCGCCATCTTGGATTTATCATGTAGGCCCCGCCTGCGCTAGGTATGCGTTAGCAATCTAGATCTCCTATATCTATGAGGTGAACCATAGCCATGCGCCCGCGATTATTGATGAACTTTAGACTTCGCTAGTACGTTCCTTTCCCCGGGCGTAAATAGCAGGGCGGAAGTAATACCCTCGGGATAAAATGTTGATCGCTCTTGCACTAGATGCGATTCGATATGTTCTAAAGTCAGTGCTGGAATTGGGGCAATGAAACGTATAAAATCCTATGTTTCACCTGCGACTCTGCAAACAATTTACAAAGCATTAATTCACATTTGATTATCGCTCCCCTTTGTGGGATACCTGGTGAAAACACTTCAAGATAAACTACAAAAACTTCAATCCATGCAGTTATATGATGTTAGGTCTACTGATGTTTTGGATACACTGGATGTGAAACGTTTAGAAAATAAATTAATAATGATGTACAAAATACTTAATAACCACACTGCCCCTAATCTAAACGAGTGTTTCTGCAAAAGAAACACAATTCAGTCTAATTATGATTTGCGTAGTAGCGATACAGACCTATGCTTACCTAAGCTTAACAGTGAATTTTAATTTTAAAGAAAACTTTTCAATATAGTGGTGCCATGCAAAGAATCGTTTTTCTGAGGATTTAAAAAACTCTGAAACCATTTCTTCTTTAAAAAAAAGTCAGGCAATAGTACTTCCTTTGGGTCGCACCAATTGTTAAGTTTTCATATAATTCCTTTTCTATTATTCTTTGCTTCCTTGTTTTTCTATATAGTCTAACTTGTGCATAGTTTAATTTGTATATTCTTTAATTTGTAAGTCGTTATTGTGCATGTGATGTCCCTCATGAAAAGCAGCTCACGTTGATCAAGGCTAGTGTGTTTAACTAACTTTTTACCATGCCAAACCGGCCATACCATACCATACCATACTATACCATACCATACCATACTGTACCATACCATACCATACCATACCATACCATACCATACCATGCCAGTGGCGTAACGTTATATCAGCGGGCCCCGGTTCAAAATTTTCGAAGGCCCCCCTAGTAGAAGTGCCAAAGGCATGAGTCAAGCGCCGTATATGCACGGATTTTCTAGGGGGTCCAGGGCATGCTCATCCGGAAAATTTTTGAATTTAGACTCTCTGAAATGCCATTTCCTGGACTTTGGGGAGAGATTTTACAGAATTCTGATGGTCGTAAAACTACATTGTAACATATCAGAGGCCCTGACCAATGTTTTTGCTCTGACGATGTAAACATGTTGTAATTTAGCTTTTTGCTATTGAACGTGTATTAATAAACCCACTATTATTATAAACCCACTATTACTATTATTATATGTTTCAACGAACAAGGAACCATAATACTGAGTTGCCTCGCCAAAAGCAACTAGTATATACAGTATAGTCTATACGCTGCAACGTGCAAGTTACAAGAATACTGAATTGCATCACGAAAAGCACCTATACGCTGCAACATGCGAGTAACAAATAATAGTGAATTGCTTCAGCAAAAGCAACTCAGTATATGCTGCAACGCAATGAATGAAAAGAACGACTCGCCTCACCAAAACAACAATACGCTCCAACGCAACTAACAAAGATACTAATTAAATATTTGTCTTACCAAAAGCAACTATATACGCTGCAACGCGTGTAACAATAATACTGAGCTGCCTCAATAAAAACAACTAAATGCTTCAGCGCGAGTAACAATAATACCAAGTTGCCTCACCAAGAGCAACGACACATGCACTTCGTCAATGCGTGGAAGTAACGATAGTACCTTTGGCTCAGTATATTTAGCAGATAAGAGAAGAAAAGTGCATGTCACTGCATGCATCAAAATCAAGATACAAAGACTATAACGATATAGATGTGCAGAGGCAGGAGGGAACATAAATTCACTAATATCTATGACTATGATCAGACAGTCTATGACTTAATTATACGGCTAAATATAAAAACGAATTATCCCGCGACCATGTAAAACGGCCTAATAGAAAATAAAAGTCGGCAAATTCAAGAAAAATACGCCGCCCGTACGCATCTGAAAACGCGAACACATCATATATGAATTTATATAATGAAAGTACATAGTACAAAATAGGAAAAGCCGATTCAAAATATCTAAACTGTGACTATTTCGCTCAATGTCAGAGCTCGTCATGCCTAGGACCGCTGTAATAAATTGAATCAAGCTAGGAGCCAGACATGGACTATCAAAGCCTGTCCTCGCTTATTCCATACTTGCGTAAAGTCTCTGCTCTCCCGCCATACAATGGGGTTGCCACAATTAAGTGAATATTGAAGTGGATATTTCCCCAACTATAAAGAGAATAGAATAAAATTTATAATGCGCCACCACAATTAAGTAGATATCTTCCTAACAGCTGGAAATACATGCATGCATGCAACACAAAAGGATTTATGCTAACCTACTATGCCTAAGACTTTCGGTAGGGTCCTGAATGACTCTTTGCCGTTCTCACGTGAATCACATCCGCAATCCTAGAAATAGCTTGATTACCTCGAAGACGTCACCGAAGCCTCTGTTATTCAAAACTGAACTCGGGGGGGGGGTATCAGTCTTTTACATATATCCCACCCGATAAAACTTAACAATGGAAAGATTCTGTATGGATGAAAATCTCGAGTGTAAATTTACACCAAGATTTCTATCTACAAAACTCTCCATCATTTAGTTCTATCCAGTGACTTGACAATAATAATGATCATGTTTACCCATACTGACATCACCTTAAATAGAATTACATTAACTTGCAAGCTTGACAACTATGTAGCTCAGTTGTTTAGAGCACTGTATCGAAACGGCAGGGCCGCAAGTTTTTTTGTTGTATTTGTTTTTTTATAAACTTTAATTGTCACAATATAAATTACATAATCTAAATACTATAATGACTATCACGCATTCCGAGCTATCCCTGCATGTGTCGTTTTCCAAGGCTCACAAACTTTCAAAACCGTTAATTTTAACCGTTTGATTCCTGCCAGAGATTTTGGGAAGGATAAGGTCTGAAAAAGTGAAATTTACACTCGAGATTTTCACGAACAAAAACCTTCCAACTGAAATGGTTTTTTGTATCTGCGAAGCAGATATATATGCTATCGCAAACGTGCCGTGACTGTTACCGTATGTTAGCACATAGTCATTCAGCGACGAGCTTATATAATTTAAGCCATGGCCAATTTAAGCCAATCAGCGATTAGTTTACATCAATTGTTTACATCGTGTCCGCATCTAACCTGCGAACGGGCGTAGTTTGGCCCCGTGTAATCGTGTTGTTATTCTTTGCCATTTTCACATTTTGGCTTCGAAAATATATTGATTTAGTCTTGTTTTCACGTGCCATTCTACTTGCGACATTATTCCGAAGTTATCTATTAACATGGGAACTTATGCTCATGCATCTGGTAAGTAGTCGAATACCATATATTTTATTATATATTTATACAGTAAAACAATCATTGTCGGTGTAATATTGTGAACAGTCAAAACATAGCAGGCATTGGGCAGGCAATATATTTGCCAATGAACAAGCTGTCATCAAAATGTAGTGTTAGAGCAAAGGTTAAGATGTTATCAGTTTAATAAAAATACTGGTACATTTTGGTTTTACACATTCGAGTTAATAAACAAAATTTTTACAAATATTTTCAAATGTTAATAAAAGAATCCCCAGCCTCCTCATTTATACATTGTCATTTTGCTTTCTGACATAAATATTTTGTTTAATGGAGATTGATACAAGAATAGTGAATAAATGTACTGCATATTGCTCGTATTGGCTGGATAATTTTGTCAGAACAAGTGAACAATGGCCATTATGGTACATCATATATTACATGAATGGATAAGATCAATGGCACACAATGACATGTACAAAACTAAACTTGTGATACCTTCTACTCAAACCGATATTGTCCCACAACAGTGTTGTGGGAGAATATCAGTTTGAGTAGAAGGTATCACAAGTTTAGTTTTGTACATGTCATTGTGTGCCATTGATCTTATCCATCCATGTAATATATGATATACTAATGTGAACACAAATTGTTTTTTGTGTGGATATGCTGTGTTAAACCGAACGGTCTTCAACGGTGTGGTATATCATTAACTGTGCACAAGATTAGAATTGAATTATATACTTACTCATGTCCTTCAAAACCATTATTCAGAGGACTCGTTGCTACAGTAATGCATGCTCCTTGAATAGTTTGTGTAATGTTACTCAATAGTTAACATTGCTACAGTAATGCATGCTCCTTGAATAGTTTGTGTAATGTTACTCAATAGTTAACATTGCTACAGTAATGCATGCTCCTTGAATAGTTTGTGTAATGTTACTCAATAGTTAACATTGCTACAGTAATGCATGTTCCTTCAATAGTTTGTGTAATGTTACTCAATAGTTAACATTGCTACAGTAATGCATGCTCCTTGAATAGTTTGTGTAATGTTACTCAATAGTTAACATTGCTACAGTAATGCATGTTCCTTCAATAGTTTGTGTAATGTTACTCAATAGTTAACATTGCTACAGTAATGCATGCTCCTTCAATAGTTTGTGTAATGTTACTCAATAGTTAACATTGCTACAGTAATGCATGCTCCTTGAATAGTTTGTGTAATGTTACTCAATAGTTAACATTGCTACAGTAATGCATGCTCCTTGAATAGTTTGTGTAATGTTACTCAATAGTTAACATTGCTAAGTGTAAACAACGAGTGTACTATT